ACCTCATCTTCTTTTAACAACATTTTCTTTTCTAGGAGTTTAGGATTTTAAAGATAAGCTCAAAGCTAGATATTTCAGAGAATTAATGGCCAAGTTACGCTTTAAATTTACTTATTGGAAGGATAGGTTACTTATTATGATGGGACACATACAATTAATAATTTTTGTGATTGACCTTTGTCATAAGTAAATTGAATATTGAATAAAAAAAATTATTGAAGGAATGGGAGAAAGTTTGTAGGTCTAAAGAGAAAAGGAAACTGATGTTCTCTCTGTTCATAGTGAAAATTAGTCTTCAATCCTTAAGTTAGTTTGGGACAGTTTTACGAGTAGTAATAATTGTACTATACATCTCAAAGTTAGATTTCTAAAAGCAGGACATGTAATTAGAAACTACAGGTCTTCTTCAATGGAATGGCTTGAGATTGTTAGACAGTTTTATATGGTTAAGGAAAACTCCTCTTGGATTATTAGAAATGGTAACAGTGTGCAGTTCTATGTGTGGTCAAGTCATCATTAGCCTTTCCCTCAATATCTTACTTTTTTAAAACAGGTCCAATGTAGTTGGTTATTGTTTGTAGCAAGGTGATATGGGATAAAAATATTTCACTTGTGCTTTGGAAATTACATATAAAAGGATGAATATTGATACTGCAACTAAGGATAAAATTCATTATGTTTTATGTGCATTTTACAGGAATCCATTAAACATCTCTTTCTTCAGTGCGAAACATCTCATAAATTCTAGAATTAGGATAAGAAGTATTACAAACTTCTATTTCTCTTTGATCAATTGAATCCCTACTCAACTTTTTGTAGTGAATACATTTTTAAGGTTAAAGACAGAGTTGTTATTATAATTATTAACATTATATGAAGAATGAGGAGTGAAAGTAGATTTAACAAGTTTTTCATTTATGATGTTGTCTTAACTTTGGTTAAGAGCAATGTTGTGCTTAATGGCTCACTCTCTAAATGATGAAAGAAGAACAAGATCAAAGAATTCCGATTGTTGAAATACTTTAATATTGAGATACAAGCACATACTTTTGTCCATGTGTCTCATTCTTTGGCAATTACCAAACTGTGGCGTGGTGAAATGTAATATTGATAGTCATGCCAGCCAGAGGTTCGCTTGTATTAGTTGATGCTAAGGGAATATTTCGTGACTCTATTGAAGAGTATATGGAAGGATTCTCTTCTTTTTTTCATTGATATTTCTTTCGTTGTTTTTGCTCAACTTGAAGCAAGTTTCCTTTACATTGAGACAACTTTATTTAAAGGATGACATTGACCATGAATAGAAAGCAACACTACCTTAGTAATTAGGGTGTTTCAACATATGGAGAAAATTAGAGGAAGATGGTATAAGTACATGAAACTTTGTAAAATTATGTGTACATTTACGAGGGTAACAAATGTGTTGATATATTTGCTAACTTAGGCATATCCACAAATTACAATCTGGAATTCATTTAGAGTATAAGGATTCTGAATTATTTGTTTGCATGGGTTTTGGTTTAGTCCACCCCGTGTTTTTTCTATTTTATTCTTTGTTTGATGAATTTTGGGTGCAATGGATAAACAAAAGTGCTGTACTAACCTATTTAGGATAACACTTTTCCCAATTATATCTTGTATAATAACATGTTTATTCAAAAAATAAATAAATAAATATTTAGAGTTGTCAAAAAGGTAGGCACTCCAATTTGATAAAATAATTAATGATTTAACTTAGTTTATATTAAAATAAATCATAATTATTTTTAGTCTAATCTTATATTAGGTCAAAAGATCAATATTAATATGATTGAAAATTAAATAAAAACAATATAACATGTTTAAATAAAATTAATTACTTCAAAATAATAATAAAATAAAAAATATTTTTAAATTTTAAATTACATAAATGAAATTAACTTTCATTTAAAATGTAATTATTTAATACATAAATTAAAAAAAAATTAATTCACTCACCTCAAAAATAAAAATTAAAAACTTATTCTTCATTTTCAAAATTTATTTTTTAGTGATATAATGGTCTAAAATAGTATTTCATGTTAACCATTAAATTGGTGTTAGAAAACTACTTTTACACTTAAAATAAATTATTCCTTTTTAAATTAATTTATAATTTATATTACTTTTATTTTGATTGTCTAAACATATGAACTAACATAATCTAAATTTATTTAACCAAGAGGCTAGTCATACCAAACTTAGTTTAATCCCATTTATATCAAATTTTTTTAATTTAACATAATCTATTTCTCAAGTACTTTAATCTTAAATTTTAGGTCAATCGATCATGTTAAGATTATTTTTTCAACTTCACCTTTATTCATTACTCCTTAAGAATATATAATGTGTATGAGTGAGTATATAAATCATATATCCATGATTTGTTTTTCTAATTTTTTATACGTCACTTGTTTATTACATGTTGATTTGTTACAATTATTATTTCCTTTTCTTACCTTTTTTTTCTTCTTCCAAACTTTGTCTTCTTCAAACTAAATCCAACCAAAATAAAACCAAACTTTATCTTTATTGGGTGTGATTTCGGTTGTGCATGACTTAGAGAAAACGTGATTCTTTGTGAGTAGATTCGGGTGAGTAATGTTTCATATGAAATGTTTTTATAAACTTGGTCAAATCTACAAGTGTAAGGTATTGATTAATGATTGAATATGCAATAAAGAAATGTAAGCTTAAATATATTTTTTTCTTTCCTTTTTATCTAATTAAATTTAAAAATCATTGTGTTCTGATATTTAGTATTATATGACCATAATTTGTTAAACAAAAAATTAATGCCGTGATACAAGTGACACCTTTAAAAAAAACATGTAAGATTTATAAAGTAGACGTTATTCATCTACTCAAATATGAATTTTAGGAATGATGAAAATCAAAGAATTTGAAGCATTAAAACTATAAGTTACTCATATAAGAACTAATATTAATGATTTTAAATTTTACAAAGATAAAAAAAAATCTAGAGGAATCAAAATCAACACTAGTTCATTTAAAAAAAATAAAAAATATGTAAACCTAATTATATAAAAAAATCTCTCCATTTTCCATTCTCGATGAGAATGTGTGGTGGTTTGAGAGGTGAGAGTGTTTCAAAGCTATGATTGAATGGGGTGTTGGGAATTGATTTTGGAAACTGAAAACATGACACAAAATGTTCGTTGTCTTGTTGAACTGAAGTTTGGTTTAATCATCTTTTATTGGATACTTTGACAGATGAGTGTGACATAACTTAATTCTCGTTATACTATAGTGGGTTGTGCGTTGAATCAAGATCAAATTCTGGTTGTCTGGAGAATATATCTGCTAAGTGTAAAATTAAACAACTATGATGTATACATACTAAATACTCTCAATTTAGCGATAATTTTTTCAAATAGAGTTTACCGTCAGCTTCTGAATTGATCATAAATCTTGCTCCTCATTCTAGTATTTTTACCGTTTGCATACAGAAGGATCTTTGCTCGTATCTGTCTTTTTCTGAAAGAGTTAAATACAGGTAAAATTAGATTTTAGTGCAATTTAAGTCTGCATGAAAAGAACAAAACACTATCACACATGTTTAGTAACAACTAAAAATGGAACCAATATCATGTCTTAACGTGGCTTAGGGTAAAAACTATTCTCTGTTCCCATTCAAAGAGATGCAATTATATAATTACTATTAAATTTATGTAAATGATAAGATAAACATTAAATTTGACACAAAATACATGACAGTGGGAAGAAAGATAAGAACAAACCTTGTTTTGTTGATTCTTCAATTGCAAGGGATGGGGATCATGGGATCTGATTCTGGCGTTATCTATACAACTTCCATTATTTACTCGATGTAGTACGTGCTTCTGCTTTTTATACTTTTCACCCTTATCTTTGACCTTTTTTATCTTCCTCTCATGATCTCTAGACCGTTTCTCTAACTTGAGCAGTGAATTTGGCAGCCCCTTCTGGCCAGTGTACAACACATTGACATAACATGTCTTTTAACATAGAAATGAAGCGTGAATTTGAATTATTCAGTTTTCTTTAACGAAAGAATCAAACATGCAGCCAGAGAAAAGATTAAAATCTTACAGAAGAAAGGTGGACCGGATTCATTTCCCTCATATGGAAAGCTTCACTTAGTATATCCAAGTCAAAAGGACATAAGCAAGCTTTTTCTCGCTTGGGTCCGGGATCTGACAGAGCTGATCCAGTTCCATTCCTTCTCCTTTCCTCACTTTTGTGTCACCCACCACATTGTGAAGATAATGTGTCTCGGAAATTGGAACTGGAAGTGGCTTCTTGCAGAAGAATTCATAGTAGGGCCAAAGTCTATATTGATTTATGAGATCACAAGTACCTCCAAGTTCTCTATTGCCTGATTCCAAGAAATAACCTTACTAAAACAAAATATACTGGAAGAAATATGCATTTCATGCATTCATTGCACGTTTTAAAAAAAATAAAAGAAACCGAGGAACCATCGAAATCAGTGTTCTGACAAATTAACCAGCAGCACTTAATAACAAATAATATAGCATGTGACATACCATTTTAGTCACAAAACATTTTAATTGTTTTTAATACCTATATATACTACTTTTAATCAGTTTTAGTCCCTACAATCTAAACTCCTAGGGACTAAAAGAGATTAAAAATATTATTTGTAATGACTAAAAGGGATGATTTTTAAATGTAGGACAAAACGGTAAAGTTTGTTTGACTGTAAGAACCAATTAAGTTGTTACATCTAACTATAAAATCAAGTTCTTGAAAATGTGGTTGATGGTTTAGTGAGAGTTTGCCCTTCTCTTGAAAATAATTGTGGTTACAAGAATCCTGATACCTTCGTGCATCTTTGTTTCCCAACCTAGCCATGTTAGCGTCAGCTCCATTATAATCATTTGATTTTTTAACGAGCTTTTCTTAAAATGATGAAATCAAGTTTCCAACCACTTTTATGGTTCCAGTCACATGATGCTTCAAACAATAAACACCTCCCATGACAGTATTTGAACTGGACCCTTTTCTTGTATCCCCATCGACTGAAAACACTGTTTCCAGCCCACAACAGTACTCATTTCAGCAGTGCACTTTAGCTGCAGATTCACATGCTCGGGTAACTGCATCTTTGGCAGATAACTAGCTTTGCAACCTGCCACTGCCCCCAACTCCTCCCGTTGTAGCCATCTTTCTTCAATTCACAATTATGTTTGAATGCAGAGATTAACACAAAACAGGGAGTAGAGACTGGGAGTTAGAGAAGGCAGAGAAATTGCATAACCAGAATCAGTAGAAGTTAGAACAGAAGATTGCAGGAAGCACTCGTTCCCACTTTGCAGAAAGTTAATCCAAAGCTTGCCAAGCTTGCCAAAGTTAATCCAAACAGAATTTGATAAAGAATGAAATCGTTTTGCCTACCTAGAATAATAAAATCTTAAGGGTTAGCTCAAGAATTTGACAATCATGTGTGACAGTTGTGGATGGCAGAAAAGGACAGAAATTTTAGGATTGCAGTGAGATGATTCTGACAAGGAAATCCAGGTCTGATTTCCTTGCTGGGAATGCTAACACATAGGATTGTTCAATTCTACGAGTTAACACAATCCTAACAATATTGATTCATCTTTTGGGAGATCCATGTGTAATAAGAGTGAAAACTATTTTATTGTCTATCTAATCCATCTGAGTATAGAGAAAGCACTAGCTCCACAACTGCATTTTGCCATATGCTATAGAATAATCCCTGCCTTTAAAGGCACTAACTACCAAGCAATTGAATTGTGATGCTTCATTTCAAATAACTTCACCGAAAGGGAATTCATCATGAGCCCTGCTTCAATACATTCTCGGTTATAGATTGCTTGGAAATGTTGCTTTTAGGTACTTTCACTTAAGTACTCTCTGGTGAATCACATCTTATGTGATAAATCCTACCCTTTCAGCTTTGCGATTTCATTGGGAAGATTTTTAATCCTCTTGCACTTTTTTCCTTCATATTTAATAATATGTATTTTTCTGTCCAAAAGACAATATGAGAATACTAATGCCCAAACAGTCTCTAGAAAACAAGTTAAAATAGATCTGCAAGTCAAACTATTCAGCATTAAAAAAATATCTATGGCTCTTTACCTAACCACCTAATTCCAGTTTTTAGATGGCCTATTTCCCACACATGATTTAGCTCCTCATCAAGAAAGAAAAAAATTATATATAATAACATAGAAAATATGTCTAATGGTGTGTAATAATGCTTACTCTCTCTACAAACATTGACAGAGATTATCTTTCCTGAAGATAATTACATCACAAATTTAACATGGTAAATGTCAGCACTAACAGTTTTTCTTTAATTTTTAAAAAGATAAAGAAATTTGTCTTGTATTAATTGTTGAGAATAGGAGTATAATAGAAAGGGAAGGACGGAGAAAAGGAATTCAAACTTTAATCATAAATCAACTGAACATTTGTCAAGATTTTACTAGAAAATAAAGAACAACCAGTCATACTTTCTTTTACCCAAATGGTCATACACATGTAATTATAAGAAAAGTGAATTTGGGAAAAGGGAACAACTTTATCAAATAACCCCACAGAGTAAATAACAAACTAACATACATAATAGAGCCTGAACACTCATTATCTAGTCATCAGTGACCTAATGTCAAAAAAAAAAGGTGGCCACTCACACTTATACATGTTAGAGCAAGCCCTCAACAGGGTTTTCACAAATGACCATCTCATGATCATAAGTTCCATTAAGCTCCATTTGCTATATCACTGACTTTAAACCTCACGAAATTCTCCATTCGTGAGACTCCAATAAACAGTGAACCACAAAATCCGGAAAGTTTTGCTGTAAACATTTACTGTGGTACAGAAAGCTCTTCTAACTATCAATATTCTGTTTTTAAAAATCCATTCGTATAATAGGGAATCATAAAAGAAATCTAATTTGCATTCTGTCAATGATTCCAGTGCGTATGCTCCATAGTAAACCATATGCTTTCACAGTTTCCAGCTAAACTATTCTAACAAGGTAATCACAAGAACAGGAAAATCCAGTTCTGAGTAAATACAATCATTTTGCACATCCACATTTTCAATAAAAGTAGAAAAACAAACAATCAATAAGCTACATATCACGTTCTTACCCCTTCCAAATTTTCTGTCTCCAAGATCCATCTTTCTGATGACCTTACAACATGCACATCACGTGCATCTACCAGCCAGAATTAACAAATACATCCACATCCTACTGGAAGTCACTGCTTGAAAATATTGACAAGTGAGGGAAGTTTCTAAGCATTGGAATTGTACACTCAACAAAATATGGGACTAGAGTTCCTTATCTAACACATAATTGATATATCTTGAAATATAGTAAAAGGATGCATCAAACTATCTCAGACAATAAACCCATCCGAGAAAACGGTGTTTCCAACTCAAAAAAGATCCACCCTAATCCCTAAATCCATTATCATGTAATAAAGTTAAAAACTTTACACGTTCAGAGGAAATTAAAAAAAAAGAAGGAGCAACAGATGTAGAAACAATCCAATACAAAGCTCTGGAAATGAACACGAGGAAAATACCTGAGAACAAAGCAGAGAGAGGTAGCGATCGAGATGGAGGAGGATTATTGTTTGCAAATTTTGAACCAAAACAATATTTTGATCTGGGAACACACGACAAAAAGCTCCCGATATTTCATTTCGTATTAAAAAAAAAAAAAAAAAAAAAAGACAACCTACGAAGGGTAAATCAGAACTGGTGAGTAGAAAAAGGCGAAACCAAACCTAACTATGTTATATAATAGTTTAATGTAGAAAAATGTGTTAATTTGAATAGATTTTTTCTTCTTTGTTTTTTTACCAGAAACCTAGAATCAAATTTACGACATAACCTTTGAGTTAATTTTATTATATATTTAATTTTGTATTTTAAAAAATATATATAGAATTATATTATAATGGTTATTATTTATTATTTATTATTTATTTTTAAAATAATAATATTTTCTCAAATCAAAATTAAAAAAGTTTAACTTTTTTCTCGTAAACATTTAAAATATCTTAGAGACGTGAATAATGGATAAAAATTGGAGTGGTGTATTCAAATATTTTATTTAAATCATTATTTTTATTGAATAACATTTTTTGAGTGAAGAAAAAAATATCATTTATATTATGAAAAATTTATTTTGACCGTTGTAAGGTTAAAAAATTAATCGTAAGAGCAATATAAAAAAAAATTCAAGAAAACTATAGTATATTTTTTTAATAAAATCTTAAAGTTTTTTCTATGGAGATCATGACTCTTGTGAATCTTTTCTCCTTTTCCTTATTTTTATGTTTATTTTTTTCAAAATTAGAAAAAAAAAAGAATGGACAAAAATACTTTTTAATTTTTTGGACTCGATAAAGATGGACATTTTTACTCTTATGTATTCTCGTCCAAAATGATAAATCAGGATTCTGTAGTTCTTTGTAAAAAAAAAAAAAAAAAGTAGGTGTGTTATTAATGTTTTGAAAATTTGTGTTTTAGAAAGAGTTTTTATAAATTTTTGGTGTTTTTGAAGAAAATTTATATTTTCATGGTTTTTACTATTTTTGGAGACACATGATAACGCGTGTGGCGATCACACCCGTGTTTCAAAAACTTATTTAAAAAAGATGAGGATATGATGACGCATGTGGTCATTAGGGATGAAAATTTAACTCGAATCCCGGAGATCGATCCATCTCTGTCCCAAGTTTGACGGAAAAAAGCTGAGTTCACGGGGTAGGTTTTCTTCCTTTTAAAAAATCGGGAGCGATGATGGGTAATGCAATCCTCATCCCGCCTACGCTGACTTTATATTTAAATTTTAAAATAATAATATTTTAAAAGTATTTCCTTTTTTCATTACATAAGATAATTTTTTTAATATTTATTATTATTATTTCTCTTCTACCCACTTTTTAATTTTTTAATATTTTATATTAATTAATTCATTATATTATTTTCTTTCTCTTCCCTTTTACTTTTCTACATTTACTTAATCTGCAATCAATTTATTTTTTTCAAATTTTTCAACAAATTTAATGAACATAAAGTTATTTTTTCTTATTCTTTATCTTTTTTTCTAAATATTTTACATAAATATTAATAGTAATAAATATTATTTTACTTATAATTTATCTTTATTAGCTTTTATTATATCATTTTTTCATCTTATTATTCTTATTTCACATATATCAAATTTTATCTTAATAAAATAATCATATTTTAAAGGATTAAAAAAATTGATAATTTAAATTTTTATTATTTCGAACTTGTTAGATATTGTTTAGATATAGTTTGGTATTGTTAAGATATTGTTAGATATTATTAACCACAATATCAAACAATATCTTCTGTTTATTTTGTTTACTTTCGGTTACTCTTTTAGTTGCACCTCTATATTATAAATAGATTACGCTATGTGTGATTTATACACAAGGGAGATTAATTTCAAAATATATTTCCTCTATATTCAACATGATATCTAGAGTTTAAGGTTATCTTGAATTTTTTTTTTCGCCTTTTGTCTACTGCTAGAGCCGCCCCACCGCTACTAGAGCCGCGCCCCACCACTGTTGGTAAACTGATCCTCCACATCAGAAAAGAATTATCTTTGTTACTTGAATTTTATTTGGTAGTGTGAAAGTGCATGTCTAGGAAAGTTCCGGCAAGGAAAGACTTGGTATTTAAGTGTGTCCATTAGTGACCCACCTCTCTTTCCTGGGAACTTACCCAGTGTACTCGGTTCACGTTGCTTGTCACCGCTGCCAGCTGGAGCAGATCACCGGATCCGCCGCTGCGGAGAATTCGCCGGAGTTTCATTTTTTGACCAGGTGACATATGATTTTGCTTGTCTCGGTCGAGTCACCACCGTGTCGTTGAGATCATCACTATCGGAGTTGGTCGTCCCGTTGTCTCTTGTGTCGTTTAGTCTTAGCGAACTTATTTTTAGTATTATCATTTTGGATTTGTGCTTCGTGGGTTTGGAAGTCCCACATCGCATACCTCATGTCATTTTGTATGGTTTAAATACATGTTAGGCTACTCCACATATTGCCAATTGGTTTTATGTTGGAACCTTAACATGGTATCGAGTCAAAGCCTAACATCTTTCCGGTTATTGTCTTAGGCCAAAAGTTGCCCTTTCGTTGGGTCAAAAATGACCCTTTGCCTGGTCCAAGCAGGCTTCGTTGGAGGGGTGTGTTGGAAGTCCCACATCGCCTACCTCATGTCATTTGGTATAGTTTAAATATATGTTAGGCTACTCCACTTATTGTCAATTGGTTTTATATTGGAACCTTAACAGAACTAATTAAATAAGAACTAACTTATTAAATATTTTTTATAAACTATATATTTCATATTTTTAAATAATAATTTCAAAAATATTAATATATATATATATAATCAAATGTTTAAATAAGTATTGTATTATAATAATAATATTATTATTATTATAAATATTCTACATTTGTATAAAAAAATAATTAAATGTTTCTTTCACATATATATTTTAATATAAATATAATAAATTAAAATATATATTTAATTAATAATAGTTACAAATTATAAAATTATAAATATTTATTTATGTACAAAAAATATATAAAAATAGTAAAATTAATTTATTATAAATATAATTATTTTTAAAAAAATAATATAGATCAATAATGAAACGAGGATAAAGAAACTCGAAACTCAAACTACGTGAGTAACCGTATTTGTACCTTAAAATTTATTTTAAAAAAGAAGACATGTTGATGAGTGATTGTACACGAACCTCATAACTTATTTTTAAAAGAGAGAGTGATCATACTTGTACCTCCAAATATATTTTAAAAAAGGAGAGGACATGATAATGTAAGGAGTCATCTTTATACTTCTAAATTTATTTTGAAAAAAAAAAGGATATGACGACGTAAATGGTCATACATATACCTTAAAACTTATTTTAAAATAACAAACATGATGATACGAGCGACTGTACTCATGTCTTAAAATTATCTCAAAATTTATCTAAAAATAAAAGAATTAAATTTTAAAAATAAAAAAATTTGAATTTTAAAAATAAAAAAATTGAATGTGTCATACTCGTACTTCAAATATTATTTTAAAAGATAAGATGATGTGACCGACTGTACCCATATCTTAAAATTAATTTAAAAAAAAAATGTTTGAATAACCTAAGTCACGGATGACTGACAGTCGCTAAAGCAAATAACGTAGGACCAATACCTCTAGATCGAAGCACAGGCCGACAATAACACAAGCCCGATGGCCATTAAAGCAAATAAGGCGAGGTCGATGGAAGTCCGTAATCGACAACCACGAAATGCATAAAATAAGAGTCAACGACCACAATTATCGGCTTTCAACCACATGACACACGGGATAATAATTGAAAAACATAGAATTCATTCTATATTTTTATTCATATTATTTTTGTACACATATATTATGATCTTATAGTATTTTACTCTAACAAATCGGGACTAAATATAGGAAGTTCGATTATACAATATTTTGTACCACTATACAAACCTATAATTTAGCTAATCAAATATCTTTATCCCAACACTCCCCCTCAAGTTGGTAAATGGATGTCATACATTCCCAACCAATCCAATAATCTCCTAAAAATCGACTTGTCACGACTTTGGTAAGAATGTTCGCCAGTTGATCTTCAGATCGAATATTTGGCAATTCCAAAATATTTTTATCAAGCTTTTCCTTGATGAAAAATCTATTAACCTCCACATGCTTCATCCGATCATGTTGGACAGGGGTTGTGAGCAATGTCGCGTGCAGCTTTGTTATCACAATACAACTCGAATGGGACGTGTACGTGCATACCCTAAATCCTGGAGAAGTAGTTTGAGCCATAAACCTTCACAAAGTCCAAGAATCATTCCTCTAAGTTCAACTTCTGCACTTGGATCTAGCTACACCTTCTCGCTTCTTGTTTTTCCATGTGACAAGATTACCTCCTACAAATGTAAAGTATCCAGAGGTTGATCTTCTATCATCAAGAGCAGTTGCCCAATCTACATTAGTATAAACCATTACATCCTTGTAGTTGGAATTCTTCTTGAACATAACTCTTTTTCTAGGAGCATCTTTTATATACCTTAAAATTCATA